CAAATGAAAGAGACTGAGAGACCATTCGCTGGTTAAACATTCTTTGATGTCTGTAAGTAAGTCCCGTTTAAAATAAAAGTCTAGAAATGGAAAAAATGTACTATGGAATGACAAATCAAACAAATGCCAGAGTGGCTATATTAATATTAGGCAAAGTAGATTTTTAAAGTGCAGAATATTAAAAGGGACGTTATTGTATAATGATAAAGGAGACAGTTTTTTAAGAAGATGTAATGAACCTAAATATATGCTGCTGTAGATGCTAAGTGCTGTTGAGTCATTTCTGACTAATAGCAACCCTGTATAGGATTTCTGATGGGCAGTTGGTGGGTTTGAACTGCTGACCTTGTGGTTAGCAGTCCAGTGCTTAACCTATAGTGCCACATCAGGCCTCCAAAATAGTACTCATCTAAAACCAGAAGTTCAAAACATATGAAGGAAAAACCAATAGAACTGAAACAAAAATTAGGCAAGTTTACAAGTGTAATCAGAGATTTCATCATCTCTCTTTCAATAATTAACAGAAAAAGTAGACAGAAAATCAATAAAGATATAGAACACTTGACTAACGCTCTCGACCAATTGACCTAATTGTTAGGTATAGAACACTCCAGTCAACATCACAGAACACTAATTTATTTTTCAAGTGAACAAAGAGCATTTACCAAGATAAGACTAAGTTTCGTGCCATAAAACAAGCAACAACAAAAAAATGTAAATGGATCAAAATCATATAACGTCTGTTCTCTATCCACTATGGAAATAAATTAGAAATCAATTGCAAAGTTATCTGGGAAATCCTCATATATTTGGAAATGAAGTAACGTGTCTAAACAGACTTCTAAATTAAGGAAGATATAAAGGAATTAAAAGGATATTTTATGCTGAATTCAAAGCATGGCATATCATTATTTATGGGGAGCAGCTAAAGCAGAATTTAGAGGGAATTTTTAGCTTTAAAATAAAAACTAAGTATCATAAGCATGCTTATTAGAAAACAAAAAAGAAACAAATTGAACCCATTGTAAGGAGAAGAAATAGCAAACATCAGAACAGAAATCAAGAAAATGAAAAACATACAAAAATCAATGAAAACCTGGTTCTTAGATAAAAATGAAATTAATAAACTTTTAGTCTGGTCAGCAAAAAGAAAGAGGTGACATCACTACCAATAGTACAAAATTTCAAAGGATATTAAGTAAATGTTATTAACAACTTTACCTTTGTAGCACTTTGAGCTCAGGGAAAACTTCCAGTTAGCTTGCCTGAACTGACAACAAGGCTCAGGTCTTTCTATCCTTGGTTACACTTAAATAATTTTACTAGAAAGATAGTTTCTACAACTTTATTATTATTTTAATGTTAGGTACATATCAGTTTTTAAGGCATCTGTGAAAGATGACATTCAGAAAACGAAAACTGCAATGAAAACTATGGGACCAGCAAAAGTCCAAGTCCCTTCACCTAAGGATTTCCTAAAGAAACACTCAAAGGAAAAACCTCTACCACCCAGTAAGTTTTATCGGTCTTTCTTTTTAATAGTAATGTTAACAAGCAATTTAGCTAGCATTATGTTATTAAATGTGCACAAGTGATAGCTGCTTTACCTAATATTAAACAGAAGTTGAGTGACTAGGAGAAAGTATTTTTAGACTTATTTATCTCTTGATAACACCATACCCTTTGTCATGAGATACAGGTTATGAAAGAGGATTGTTGCTGTTGTTGTTAAGTGCCATCAAGTTGGTTCTGACCCATAGCAACCCTGTACAGGGTTTCTGAGGAGCAGCTGGTGAGCTTGAGCCACGGACCTTGCAACTTTGCAGTTGAGTGCATTAACCCACAGCACCACACCGGGACTCCCGAAAGAGGGTTATGAGACATGAAATGCTCATAACCATAGGGAGAAGCTTCACTTTTGGCAAACTATACACCCTAGGTGGGCTTGATATGTTACATCGTTTCCTTGATGCTACGAGACATACACACAAAAGCCAACTTTCTAAAAAGAGACAGATTCATTTATTTGTAAGGGGCTCTGGTAACGTCCATCGATGGACTCAAATGTGGCAACAGCAGTGAGGTTGGCCTAGGATTGGACGTTGTTTCGTTCTGATGTGTATAAGGTCACTATGAGTCAGTGCCGACTCGATGGCACCTAACAACAACAACTGGTAGTGTAGTGGTTAAGAATCAGGCTGCTAACATCAAGTTTAGCAGTTCGAAACTACCAGCTGTTCCATGGGAGAAAGATGAGGCTTTCTGTTCCTGTAAAGATGTACAGCCTCGGAAACCCTATGCAGGGTCGCTGTGAATCGAAACCAACTCCACAGAAAACCAACAACAGCCAACATCTACTTGTACTCATTATTGCCTTAAGAAACTAGGAACGCCTTAACTAGAAGAGGGGCAAGCTGCTTCTGTGAATAACTGTAACAGATCTCACTTCATTTGCTCCTCATTTTCCTGGTAGCCTAATTTTCTGATATTCATACACTCACATAATTTGTGAAGTCCAATGCAAATTGAAAATGTTAGGCTCCTTGATCACCACAAGACAACAAAATCAAAACATCAAACCAAGTATGGGGTTCTTCTAAGCGTGGGACACTTTGCTACTTATTACACATGTTACATACTCAGGAAATGGGTATGCCTGCCCTTGAATGGAACTTCTGGTGTAGTACTATAGTATAAGCACCAGACTGCAAACCACAAGGTTGGCAGTTCAAACCAACCAGCTGCATCTCAGAAACCCTTTTGTTGTTAAGTGCTGTCAAGTCAGTTCCTACTCATAGTGACCCTGTAGCAGGTTTCCGAGGAGCCACTGGTAAGTTTTTTACTGTCTACCTTGCAGTTCAAACCAACCTTGGGGTCCAGTCCTTACCTTACAGCACCACACCAGGACTCCCAGAAACCGTATACAGGGTCACTATGAGTCAGAATTGACTTTCCAGCCCTTAACAACAACCCATTCATGAAGTCTCCTACTTTATATCTGATTTAATTTTAGTCTGATTTAGGTGGCACAATGTTTAAGTGGTAGGCTGCTTTAAAAAAGTTTGACAGTTTGAATCCGCCAGCAGTTCAAAACTACCAGCCGTTCCGCAGGAGAAAGATGAGGCTTTCAGCTCCCGTAAAGATTTACAGCCTCAGAAATCCTGTACAGGGTCGCTATGAATCAGAACTGACTTCATGGCACATAACAACAGCAGCAGCAGCAGCAGAGCCCTAGTGCTGTGGTAGCATAGTGGTTACGACTTGGACTGCTAACCTCACGCTCAAGAGTTCGAAACTACCAGCATTTCTGCGGGAGAAAGATGAGGCTTTCTGCTCCTGTAAAGATTTACAGCCTCGGAAACCCTGTACAGGGTCTCTATAGGTTGGAACCAACTCAACAGCACTTAACAACAGCAAGAGTTGTAGTGTGGCACCTCGGTTTAATGTGCTAGACTGCAAGGCCAACTTTAACTGCACGGCCAGCACTGTACAGGGTCGCTCTGAGTCAGAACCGACTTGACAGCATTTAACAATAACAACTACAAGAGGCTGTATAGGAGAAAGGCCTAGGGGCCTGCTTCTGTGAAAACTACAGCCTTGAAAACTGTCAGATTGGATCACTCTGAGATGGAAATGGATTCAACGGCATGTAAACACAACAAGTATCTAGATCCTAGAGATCTGGGACAGTGAGGGCCACAGTAAGCCAAAAGTGGGTGTCTGGTGGTCCTTCACCATCTGATTATAACTTACATTTTTTCATCTCTTGGCAAGAAGATGAGACAGTGTTTAGGTTCAGAGAAATCTTTCTCGGTAATCAGAGATTGTCTAGAGGTTTAGAACTCTTCCTATGATAATTTGAAAATGAATTCACACGTCCAGGGAATAAGTTGGTAAGGTATGTGGTGCTGGAGGGCTGTCATTGGATAGTCCAAGATGTAGTTCAAGACCCTTGAACCCTTACAAAAGTAAGTTTATTTGGTGGGCAATTTATCACTCTTCACTTTATCTTTATATACCATACTCTCTACTAGTACTCTCTCTAAACTTACTTAAATAGGAAAGCTGGACATCTGTTGTTGAAACCTTTATAAGAAAGCATTATCATAGTAACCATTGAATGTATGAGTAGCTTATGGTTTGAGGTGCTCATCCTTTCATCTTAGATTTGAATACTGTTCTTTTGTACTGCCTTTCAACATATTAATTGACTATATAATGCTTTTTTTCCCCCTTTATTATTACTGTTTACCTTAAAGTTTGAATAGAGTAGTAAAACTCAAAAAGATTAATGGTAGTACAACTGAGTGTAGTAAGTAGTACCAAGTAACAATTTTTATAGTTATGAATGGAATGTTCTGCTTCCATTTCACAGAAAAAAAGTTTGATTGGAATGAACCTAGAAAGCCACCTGTGCCACTGAGGAGTGAACACCCTGTCATGGGAATACAAAGTGGAAAAAATTTTATAAATACAAATGCAGCTGATGTCATTATGGGCGTGGCTAAAAAGCCTAAACCAATATATGTTGACAAAAGAACTGGAGACAAGCATGATCTTGAATCATCAGGATTAGTTCCAAAGTTCATCAATAAAAAGGTAACCTGCGATGGCAGACCTAAGACTCAAATAATTCCAATAAGGTGTTGATAATGATTGTTATTTATAAGTGCTATCAGTAGTAACTACCAGTTCTGTAACCACCAAGGGCATTACGGCTTAGTATAATGACTGAAATGCATAGTGATGATTCTGAATCATCAATAAAAGATTAAATTATGCATGGCATATTCTGTCTAAGAAAGGGAGTCGTTTTAGGGGAAACAATGATCTCATAAATGGGTAAAAGCTTGAGTGGTCAGAAATATTGCTATATGTTACTGAGAGCTCATGAACACTTGTAATACTAATAACTGAATATATGCATATTATAAAAAGCCCAAAACCCACTGCCATTGAATCTATTCTGACTCATTGTGACCATATAGGACAAGAGTAGAGCTGCCCTATAAAGTTTCCAAGTTTTTCATTCTTCTTGGGGAGTCGTGGTATGGCACTGTGTGTTAATAACACTGGACTGCAAAGGTCAGCAGCTCAAACTTACCAGCTGCTCCTTGGAAAACCCTATACAGGGTCAGTATGGGTTGGCATTGACTTGACAGCATTTACCAACAACAAACAACAGCAAATCTTCATGGAAGCTGACTGTCTCATCTTTCTCCCATACAGTGGCTGGTGGGTTTCAACCACCAACCTGTTGGTTAGCAGCTGAGTGCTTTAACCATTGCACCATCAAGACAATATCCATTCTTCACTGAACATTTTTAGGTGCCAGGTGTGGTATCTGGTGCTTAATATATTATATATCCTTTAATCCGCCTTATAATTCTCAGATAAATCTAATGGCTTGTTACAGCTCTCAGATGTAATAAGTGGCAGAGTTAGGATTTGAGGTGATGGTGTATACAGTTTGAATACTTTGTACAGTCATCATGCTTCAGTTTGCTCATGGCATGAACAGGTGTGTAACACTTTATTTGGAACCATAACATGAGGTTCACTCATTTGTGTTTTCAATGGCATTGTTTTTAAAAGGATTCACTATCTCCTGGTGTGGCGCTGTGGGTTAATGCGCCAGACTGCAAAGCCGGTTGAGCTGCAAGGTCGGTGGTTCAAGGTCACCAGCTGCTCCTCAGAAACCCTATACAGGGTCGCTATGGGTTGGAACCGACTCGACAGCACTTCACAACCAAAACAGCTATCTCACTTACCAAAAATAGATTTTTGAAACTTAACTGAGATAAGTGAAAAGTAAATCTTTCATGAATACTGATTGATTAGCAACATCAAGAGGACAATAAAAAGATGAAACCAAACCCACTGCTGTTGTGCAGATTCTGACTCATAGCAACCCTACGTGTAGGACAGAGGAGAACTGCTCCATAGGGTTTTTGAAACTGTAGATCTTTACAGAAGCAGACTGCGTCTTTTTCCTGAAAGAGAATAATTAGTAGCTAGGAAGATGTTTTTGTGGCTTGGTTAACAAGGACATGTAGACTAGCCAAATGTTTTTCTGTATCTGAGATGGATATTCCCAATATTTCTGCTCAACACCAAAAATGTCCTGTAGTGAACAGAAGCACAGAGGGCAGTCAGGAGTGTGGGGTGTGATAATCAAAAGATTTATGATAGTGGAGAAATTGTGGCTAGGGTGATTTAAAGGTCCAGAAGTTTGAGTGACGTTTCTGCTTTTCCCCACCCTGTGTATAAAGGACTAAGAGTAGCAGGAGCCATGGATGAAGGACAGTATTCTCCAGAGAAGCATGACATTACTTTATCAACATGTGCTGTCATCTCCTACGTTCCTGCCCAAATTTTTCCACAGGGATCTTGGGGTTCCTGTCTTGATTTTGAGCAGGAATTGCATCTATCATGGTAGATGACCACCTACTCCAGTCAAAGCCCCTTATGTATTACTACTGCAATGACTTTTCTTTCTTGCCATAACATAAATTATTACAATTGTTTAGGAGTTTGCACTCAAGTTTCACTATGTGTGTTTCAAGCATTTTAAAGCCTTATATTAGTATTTGTGGAGACCTGGTGTGGCACTGTATGAAAGGCAGTGAACGGTTAGCTGCCAGGTCCCCACTTTAAACCCATTAGCTGCTCCTTGAAAACTCTATACAGGGTCGATATGAGGTGGAACCGACTTTATGGCACTTAACAACAGCAACAACATAAGCACCTTTATATAAAATGAACTAGAATTGTGTATGTTTTCTTTGGGATGCTTTTTCTGTTTTTAAAGAACCCTTCTGTCTCCAAACTACTTAACTCAAAACTTCTGTAATTACTCCCAATGAAATTATACACCTGTCATCTTTTGAGACTGAAACGAAGACCCGATTTTCTTTAATGTCTAAAAGGTGTGTATTATTGGACAGTTTTTTCAAATTCTTCTTGCCCCCAAACAAGTGGATATATTCAAGTTGAAATAGTGATGTGAATTGTTTATAGTACATATGGGGAATGGCTGTCTCCAAAGTTGTGTTCTTCGTCATCTCTCATTTTGTTACCAAGTTACTACAACCTTATGACTAAATCTGAGGCTCTTCTGAAAGGTAATTCTTTCTAGATTTACAGTGGTGGTGCTTTTAGTGACATTCCTACCTCATCAAAAGATACGTTTTAGAGAAATTTATCATTGTTTCAAGCATTTTTAAGTCCTAGAAGTACTTGTGGCATAGTGGTGTGACACTGTAATATAAGCACTGGACTGCTAATCACAAGGTCAGCATTTCAAATCCACCAACCAATCCTTGGAAACCCTATACGGGTTGCTATGAGTCGGAACCAACTTGACAGTACTTAACATCAATAACATTATTGTTGAAGATACTCATCATTGAAATTAAGAAGGATAATTACACCTTTCATCTACTGAGATATCAGGCATTATCCATTCTATATAGTGTCCACTCCATTTCATTTCATTAAATTTGGACCAAATATAGACTGAAGAAGAATATAAACAGGCTATTTAGATAACCTGTCCAGTGGGTACACCATGATGAATTAAAATATAGGTAATCATTACGTGGCACTGTAGGATCAGCACTGGACTGTGAACCACAAGGTTGACAGTTCAAATCCACCAGCCACTCCTCAGAAACCCTGTACAGGGTCACTATGAGTCAGAATCAACTTGATTGCACTTAACAACAGTAAATTTCAGTCAGAACAGACTAGGTCTTGCCTAGGTAACCAATAGCCCCAATATTTCAGTAACATAAAGCAATAAATATTTATTATTTGCTTGTTCTGTATGTCCATTGATTGGTGTTGGAGGCTGTGCTTCCTGTTGTTCTTTTTATACCAGGACAGTGGCCACCCAAAAATGTTTCTAGTCACTTTAGTGGAGGGGAAAACAATGTGGCAAATTCTCCACTAGTGAAAGGGTTCAGCTCCACTCACATTGGGAAAATCCACATGATATATGATACACTTCCCTTACTTCAGTGGAAGCAGGAAAGTATTGTCTTCTCAAGCGTCTGTGAAGGTGAGTCAAAAATTATCCATGCTTTGGCTGTAGAATTTATTTTAATCAACTTTAAGAAAAGACAAATACATAATTTTTCAACACAATCTCCTTGCTTTTCAATACACTTTGTTCAACTGTCAGCAAGATTTTGTACTCCCTTATTTAAAAAATGATTTAGGCTGAACTGTGAGCCACGAATGCATTTCTTCGTCAAAGGTGAATATTCATCCTCCAAGGTCTGCTTTTAGGAAACCAAACAGGTGAAAGTCTGCTGGAACAACATCAGGA